GCAGCCGGGCGGCGCGAGGCCCACAGTGGCTCAGGCCGCGTGTGCGCTGTGTTGCCAGGGGGACCTGAGCGACCTGGGCCGGGTGCTGATGCAGGGCTCCTTCAGCGTGTGGATCAGCCACAGGAAGGGCCCCACCAAGATGAAGGACCTGGCACGCTTCAAGCCCATGCAGAGGCACCTGTTCCTGCACGAGAGGGCGCTGCTCTTCTGCAAGAGGAGGGAGGAGCATGGGGAGGGCTACGACAAGACCCCCTCCTACAGCTTCAAACACTGCCTGAAGGTGAGAGACCTGTCCAGGAGGAGTGCCCTGAACACTGCCTTCTTTCCCCTGTTACCCGCCGGCCAGGCCTGTGATGTAACTCACTCTCTGTCCTTTGAGCTGTGGTTCACACCAGGAACCTCCAGGAAAGGTCTTACTTTCATGCCCATGGCCCTGTCTGTTTTATTGTACTGTTTGTCTGTATTTCACCTCCTGTAAAATTGTCATCGAGGACATAAAACACATTTAAAGTACAGCACTCATCACGTGAGACTGGCTGATTTTATTTCTTCCCGCTGTGCAGATGAGTGCTGTGGGGATCACGGAGAATGTGAAAGGAGACATTAAGAAGTTTGAGATCTGGTACAGTGGCCGAGAGGAGGTGTATGTGGTGCAGGTGAGCAGGGGCATGTAAGGGGGGATAATTTCTAGGCACCTCCATCAGTAAACGAATGACCATTCCTGCTGTGCAGTGCTTTAATTTGTGCTGCAGCTCGAAAGGGGCTGCAAACTCAAAAGTGTGGATATTGAAGAGCTTTAAAATTAGCACTGATCAAAAACCCCAGTGCGGAAGATACTTTGGTCCATTATAGTTGGTGGGAATGTTGCAAAGGAAAAATAACCTGCTTAGTGCATAATGAAGGCAGACAGTGGGAAAGAAACTGAGCTCAGTGTATGGTCGGTGCGATCAGAGGGATGCTGTGTGTGAGGCTCTCTCTGTCCCTGTCCCAGGCCCCCTCAGTGGAGGTGAAGCTGGCCTGGCTCAGTGAGATCCGGAAAATCCTCACCAACCAGCAGAAACTCACCCGAGGTTTGCCTCGTTTCCTTACGCATCTCAGTTTTCATTTTTATTTAGGTTTTGTTACTCGTGCTTGGGTTTCCCGTCTATTGCGTGTCTGCGATCACTGTAAAATGGGTGCAGGGAAATGGGTTTATTTTATTTGCACAGATATACTGCGTGTCTGCAGCAACAGTTTGTGATGTAATCATGAGAGGGGGTGCCTAGAGGAAGACACCATCTTGGCTCAACAGCCAAGCCCATGAGTGTGGCCTTGAGCCAGGATGGCCACCTGTTACTAGAGGGCAATTGATCACCTCTCAAATCCACCTCTATAAGAACCTCTAGCTTTGATGCCCTCAGTGTCACATGTTAGATTTAGATTTAGATTCAGTGTCTTTCAGTATCGCCTCTGCAGCAGGTCTGGGTGTGGTTTTCAGTAATTAGTCCGTGACTTCCTGTTTCACTGACCTTCTCTCCGGCTTGCAGACGACTCTCTCCAGCCCAGTCCTGCCTCAGACCACATCCAGCTCTCCCCTCCTCTGTTTGACAGGTGAGTG